AAAACACAAAAAAATCTTGAGAATAAAAAATTATTACAAATAATACAAAAAAAAAAAACGTTTTATGCAAATGGAAAGCGCCAGAAATAAAATTGAAATGGAAAAAAAATTAGTCGTCGGCTATTTTTTCTATTCACTGGAAATTTTTTTAGTTTTTTTGCAAACAATAACAATTTTATTATTAATATTTTATTTTAATTTTCATTATTTGCAAGTATATACGTATACATATAAGATTTATATCTCCTTTATTTTCAGATTTTCCACCATACCATGATAACACATAAGTGATATACAAATTAATTCAAATTCCAAAGGCAAGATGATCAAGATTTCGAACAATGTTAAAGAAAAATTATGCATACATTAAATGTATACTGGATGAGAGAGAATATGCATACATATACCTACATATTATTATTATAATTATAAATTTTGCCCAAAAAATATGTATTAGAAGACCATGGAATAAAGTATAAAATTGGCAATTAATTTAAAGGAATAATTACATATTTTATATGTACATAAAAATTTGGAATTTCTAGCAAGCTATACACTTAAAGTCTATATCAAAGGAGATTTTAAACATTTAGTAAGAATTAGAAGAAACATGCCATATCGTAATCAAAACTATAATAATTAATTTATTTTATTTTGAATTTTAGGATTAGAACGTGATTTATTCGAAATATTACAATCATGATCTACATATTATGACAAAAAGGAAAGATCATTAAAGCTTAGATATACAAGTAGATATAAGTCTAGAAATTAATATTAAAATTTAAGAATCATGTTTACATATATTGAAAATTATTAATTTTATATTTAAGTCATATTGTACATAACATAAGAAATTTAAAACTTATATTATTTGTAAAACTTTTCCTCTTCTATGAACAAATATCACATTTTTTGCATTCAAAGATTATCGAATGTGCTTGTTTTGTACAAAAAATTTATCGAACAATATTATATTTTAAGATTATATAGTTAGTATTAATTAAGATCTGAGGTAAAAAACTGAATTTTCGAGAATTCTAACATTTTGGTATAATATGAATTTTTTATGTATATATGAGTTCATCTAACTTAAAATAATATCTCACATGAATTGCACATTTGTTTTTTTTTTTGCAATTTTACTTTACAATTTCAATTTGTTACCTAATAATTACAAAAATTCGTAATTCACGGTTTTTGTAACTTAATATTTTATTCAATTAAATAAAGTATAGAAATTATAGAAGATTTTCGGGAATTCAGTTCTAATTAAGACCGTCTGCAAAAATCCAAAAAAAAAAAATTTTTTAAGACTTAAGTTAGGAAATTTTCAGTATAGATATTCTAAATTATCTCTGATTTTATCTCCATAGCTATGTTATCTCTAATAATATACAATTTTTAATTAAATTTAAATTAAATATATTTAATATGCAAGTATGTTATACTATGTTAATCTGCAAAAAATAAAACAGAAATTAGGTCTATTCTATTATACATTCAGAGTTAACAAAAATTTATTAACTAAATTCGTTGTTATCTAAAAAATTATAATTTGTATTTATAAGGATAAAAATCCTTTATGAATTCTTCAACCTTAATTTTATTTCCATAATTATAAAAACAACAAAAAAAAAACAAAATTGTTAATAAATTTTATTTAAATTCATTTCATTATTTTTATGAAAATTAATTTTTATTTTAGTGTGTTTTGAATAATTTTCATAAAAAAATAAAAATTTCGGAAACAAAAATGAAATTTGTTAACCACACTTTTTGTTTTTTTTTTCTTGTTGTTTCTTTTTTCATTTTACTTATTCAAAAATAAGTTTTTTATTACCGAAATAAATGTTTTTTATTTTTTTTTACATTTTTTCATCATAAAATATTTTTTGAACAGAATACAAAACTTTTCATTTTTTTTTTGCATTTTTTTTTTTGTTTTTTATGAAAAACTAATAGGATTACTAAAGTATGATGATGAACAGGATATCAAAAAAAAAAGCAGGAAAACAGAAAAATAAATGAAAAATTTTAAAACTTTTAATTGACCATAAAATTTGTCAAAAAATCATAAAACCATTAAAATTAAGTTTTACAAATGGCTAAGCTTATAATTAACCTGTTAAACTAAAAAAAAAAAAAAAGTTTCATACTTTTTATATTAAATAATTTTGAATTTTATTATTACATGTACATATGTACCTAGATTTAACATATTATTATATAATTGTAAAAATATATATGTATGTATACAAAGGTAGACAACATATGCATATTGTGTATATAAAGATAAGTTCCAAAAAATTCCAAACAGGTATGCGTATATCCTGGCCAGCAAAAAATTATTTTCAAATATTAATCAAAAGTTTTTGTTGTAGTCACTGTGATCCTTGAAGTTTTCACATGATTTTTTAATTGATGATACTATTGTTCATGAATGAATTGAAATATTCTGTTTTATTTAAATTATGTTAATTTGTTATTTATACAGAAATAAACACTTAAAGCATTTCTATTTTTTAGTGTAAAAGCAACAATTTTTCTAACTAGCTGAAAAATTATTGCTGAATACAATTAAAAAATATAAAATAATATGCTATATAACGAGAAATATGCATTTGATCCGACCAAATATCTCAAAATTTGTTCTTCCGGAATGTGCAAATATTGATTTATGCCAGTTATTATGCACTGCTAGCAAACAAATCACAAATTTACAAATTTTTTTAATAAATCCAGCCTATGTGTCACAATCTATTGATACTCCATGTCTAATTTAATCTCAATTCTAAAATATTAAATCATTTAATTAATATTAAATATAAAATTATGTAAAACTACCCTCATAAATCAATACAGAACACATATTTCTCTTATAATATAATATATATATATATATATACATACATTTTTAATTTTAATAGTAAATAATAAGTAATATAATCTCCATACATATTTCCCATAAGTCTATTTAAGAAAAACAAAAAAAAAATTTAAATGAAATCGATAACCATTATTAAAACCATTAATACTTTTTCCCTTTCTTATTTAATTCAAAAAAAAAATATAAAATACAAACAGCAGTCCTATGGTCCCCTGAATTTACAAATCATCAAATTACTTATATAATATTCATTAAGGAAGATATTATTTTTGTTCATAGAAGACATTTTTTTTTTTTTATTTTGACAAAATATACAATTTATTAGATGCGTTTTAATTGAAATTTTTTATCACAATTATACAAGTATTAAAAATTACTATGGTATCATAACCATATTGATAATATTTTAAGATTTATTTTATGTAACCAATACATAGTTTACATCATAAGTATAGCTACTAACCATACAATTCTTATCCAACCCCTTTTAAAGAGGGAAGGAAATCCAAATCAAGAAATCTTTGTATTATTTAAGAGAAGGGTGATGAAAACACAAAACAAAAAAAAAAGAAAATCCCTGTTAAAGCCGTCGTTTACACTTTTTCGAATTGATTAATTTTTCCTGAATTTTTCATTTCTCTTACATTTTTTTTTTGTTTACATCCTTCTTAAAAAATATATTCATACATATCATACACAATGGAATACACAAAAATATAATAAGTGCTTTAAAAGTAAAACACGAAAAAATCCCCCAAAATTTTTTCAAAAATAAAATCAAACACTCATTCATATACTTTACCCGTAATAATTTAAATAAAAAAGTACAGAAAACAAAAGTATTCCATTGAGAGAATCTTTAATGATATCCTAACTAAATGTACATAAGCTTAGCTATGATAAATTTTATTCCCTTTTCCTGCTTTTTAAAATAAAATATGGAAAAATCATCCGGTGTCTATGTTACATTTTTATTTATACAAAGCAATTTGAAAAGTGAAAATGAAACTCTTGTTTCTATATCATCAAGGGATTAAAGGATACGCCATGCTACAATTTTTGTTTTTTTTCGCTCTCTCTCTGATCTATGCTTTTGTATTTATTTTATTATACATATACAATGTTGTATGAATTTGGGTGATGCCATTTTCAAGGATAAATAAAATTTTTTTCTTCTTAAAATTCGAGTACGCAGCAATTATTTTGGTAGAAACAATGAGATCATTACAAATCACAGCATTTTGTGTTTTTTCTTTTATGATTTATAACATGCTGGGCAGTTTTCATAAAAAATAATTCTGCAATTGGCACTATAAAATTGCTTTCGTTTAATTAATTTAGACACATACTTGTATACATATACATTTTTTTTAAATAGAATATTAGAAATTTATGAGTCGACATCATAATGCCGAATAATCAAATCTTATTTGATCTCTTACAATATTTTATTTCAACCGATTGTTATTAATTCTAATGTTACAATTCGTTTTACTAATCTTTTTGTTAGTTCCGTTTTAGAATTAATTACGGGAAATATGAACCCAATTTTAAATTATCTGTAAGCACCCTGGGCCTGACTTGTGACCTACCAAAAGAATTATACCTTATGATAATTTTTAATTTGGTTCATCATAATTATTTTTTAAATTAAATTTTTTTTAACCTAAAATTTTGCTTTAGCCTATTAATTGAGTAAATAAAAATTATACACTTTAGAATCGAATAATAGTAGAGTAAGAAATTTTGTACTACTAACTAATTTTATACAAAATGAAATAAGTTTGTATTATAATTTATGGACCTATGACTTGACTAGAATCCAAAAATTTAAAAAAATCTTTTTTAATTTCTGCCAAAGAAAATGCTGTGAAACATGAAGTACTAAACTGAATATCGAAAAGTTTTTGTCCTAATTGAATTCCTAATTATTTTCATAATTTTGAATAATTTTAATAAAATCTATCAGCAAGGCATCATATTAAAGCCAGTATGTACCTAAAATCAAATCAACTCAAAATTAAAATATAATGTAGTCCAATTTTTTAAAAATTACATTATACATGGCATTTTTTAAAAACTACATTATATGGTCAGTTTTAAAGCCAGTGTAAGGAAAACCAAGAAACAAGGAAAAGAATGAAGAACCTTCTTTAATTGTACGCAATGGTATACGATTCTTATTATAATGCGAAAACAATAAATTCACTTGTGATGAGAGTGTTGATTTTGGAACCAATCTATCTTTCCATATTCCTAGCACGAATAAGTTACAATTCTTTTACAAATGTCTTCTAAGTTTATTTAAAAAAAAAAAAGGTTTTAGATATCCATTTAACTTCTAGTATTACAAAATACATATATTTATAAATCAAGATTAATATTATTCTTAATTTTCTTAACAGATTTTTCAGCTGGTCTTGTTGTTAAATATTTACCAAAAATTGTTAATTCTACATTACCTAACATAATTTTAAAAATTGATTCAGCTTTCGGTAATGTCCTAATCTTATTATCTTTACTAATAATTTTTAAAACATTTTTTGTTTCTAATATAATAATACCGGTATGACCAACAAAATTTGGACATTTTGATTTTACAACTTTTATGAGAGCACCATGTAAATCCGATTTCATTAGTAATTTTGTAAAATTATCATATGCTGGTTCATATACCTCAGGTATCTTTGTATCTTCACAATTTAATGATAAATGTTGTATCATATAACCTTTCCATAATTCATGTAATGGTATAGCTTCATCATATTTCATACTGTTTTTAGGTATATTGTAAAGACCAAGTTTAGAATATTCTTTTCTTGTTAAAGTTGTTAATTTCTTTTTTGGTTTTTTAGTTCGTTTCTTTTGTTTTATATGTGTAAAAATTGTTGTATGATCTGGATTAATTTTAATTTCTGATCTATGCTCGGGTGCAATAATTTCAGTTATTAATTCTTTAAATGCTTCCATTTCTTTTGATAATGGTGCTTGCAATGATTCGCCTATTGCAAAAAATAAAAAAGTTGGAGTAGAATTTTATAGTAAAAATGTTATTCATTTTACCTTTTTTCTCCATAATTTTTTATTTGAAAACAAATTTAATGTTAAAAATTTATTCTAGCAAATTTGAAAGGTTAGGTTAGATTGGAGTAGTAAATAAATAACAGCTGACAAAGATGAAGAATCCATGAGGAATATTTCGTTTATATTTACATAAAATAGAATAAAAATAAGAGACATCTGTCGGACATTGGCAATAAAAGTTTTTCTTAAATTTCGAGTATTGAATTAAATCAATAAGAATTTAGCAAGCAACTAAATTGACTTGACATTTCGCATTAGAAAAACAAAAAAAAAACACTCTTAAACATCATTTCGATTTTGAAGTTTGTTTAGCTAACAAAACTCATATTTTATTATTTTGTCCTGCTGCAGCAAGATAAATCAAATATTTAAGATATCACAATGAGTCTATATAATATTTTATTTAAAAGAACATCAACCTACGCTGTAGGTATTGTTGCATCGGTATTCTTTTTCGAGAGGACATTTGATTTGGCAGCTGAATCAATTTTCACCTCAGTAAATAAAGGCGTAAGTAAAATTTTTAATAATCATTATGTAATCTTATGTGTAACATAACATTTTTTTTTGTCATTCCAGAAACTATGGGAAGATATTAAGCATAAATATGAGTAAATTAGTCAGAAAAGCCAAAATCCATAAAATATTTAGCTAATGTAAACTTTATTGTATAAATAAAAATCGAAAGAACAAAAAAAAAAACAAATTATTGTTCTTGTATTCAATCTTTGACTAAAGATTCATAATCGTGATCCCAAACTTCAGGTGGTATAAATCTATCTTTCTCTTTCAATTGAATTCCATTTTCTTCTAATATTTTAATGAATTTATTTAATTTTGTATTACCATCCGAATTAGTATTGTGATCACAATACATTTCAGTTAAACCACTCTTTAGGCAACGATCTGCTAAAACTCTGCCTAAATTAATATATGCACATGTATCATTTGTTTTATACAATTGCTTTTTAATTGCCCATTCTTTTGTACTAGCGGATATTACTATGCCATTTTGAAAGTGTCGAATATAAGCTGATATATAACGTTGAGAAATAATCAATTCTAATTTATGCCAATAACTTCTTCCTAAAATAATTAATTTGCTTTTTAATAAATAAAAATTTCAATGGTAAAAATTCTAACCTGGTTTTTCCAAATGATAACCTTGTGGTTTATATGCATAGCCTAATCTTTCCAAATTCCGAGGATTTTTATTATAGGCATATACAACTCCTGCCTCTGGTTTTGTTAATTCTTGGATTTTATGTTTTACTCGGGCCGAAGTTAATGGTTGAAATTTCTTAGCTACCGATGCCATTTAATACCTTTATACTTTAAAATTTCTATTTACATTCTATTTTATGACATTTCATTGAAATAAAATATTATGACAGTTTCCCAGTAAACCGAATAAAAATTTTTATACGGAAAGTTTTTGACATTTCAAGCATAGGTATTTATGTCACAATTGCAGCCTAAACAATAACAAATTATTTTAAATAGAAATTGGAAAACTAATGTGTTTTTTTTAAAATTTCATTAATTTTATTTATTCAAAATCAAAAAATGAACAAGTTCAAATTTAATTGTTAAACAACTTTAACATTATCTAAATCTCGTTTTTCAATCATCCTTAAATGCTTCTTTTTCATACGCTTTATTTTGTTGGGATTTTTGATTATTTGAACTACCTCAGATTTTCTTTGATTCGCTAAACGTCTTTCAGCATTTTCTAATCTTCTTTGTTTTCTAATTTCTTTTTCTTCTTTCTTAGCATCTTTAATTGATTTGGATATTTGTTTAATGTGTTGAATTTCATTTCGGAGTTCAACTTTTTTATGAAACGGACGACGATATATTGATTTTTTAATTGTGGAAAACCTACGAAATTTTTATTAAATAGTTCATTAATTTTTCAATATTTTATTTAAATTTTAAATTATTTTTTTTTTTTTACTTTGTTCTAGGCTCTTTCCATGGACGACCAGATTTTGGTTTGCCTCTTGGTATGATTTGTTCTATTTTTTTTAGTTTCGTCTTCTTGGACGCAGGAGGTTTTTCAGGTTTTGTGATATTTGAAGCAGTGTTATTATTGCTCACCGGTTCATTATTTCCATTGCTCTTATTATCTTTATCCAATGAATCAACATCTTTGTTTTCCTCGGTCATAATTTAAATACTATTTTATCGAGATCTAAATTATTTAAAAATTTTTAATAGAAAATTTTATACACGTGTTTCGCTATTTTGTTATTGGTATACATACATACTATACTAGTAGTACATCTCCAAATAAAAACAAATAAAATTGTTTTGTTTTGACTTTTTCCAATCATTCTAAAAGGAAAAATGTCAAACCTTTCTGATAAGCATTGCCAACATTTCAAATATTAGCATAGCTATCTTTAGCAACACTTATTATCCAATAATGAAATATATTTTAATATTTAATATTCATGGGTATTAAATTTAGATATTATTAAAAGTTCTTACAAACTTTACAAATTTTCTTTAAATTTATTTTCCAGAAACTTAGAAATTTTTGTTTCATTTAGTATCAATTATATAATATATTATATTGTTATCACAAGCAGGAAAGATCAAAATGTCACAATTTCCCAAGTTGTATGATACCTTATCAACAAAGCATTGTCTGATTTTCATCAAATAATGACAATAAAAATTTAAATAAATATAAATTAATAATTTATAAATATGTACATATATACATATAATGTAGAATTTATAAATTCAGAAATATGTATATGAATTTATAAATTCTACATTATATGTATGTATGTACATATTTTTATTCATAACTTTACAATGTCATCCATAAGTTATCAGTTGTCACAAATTAAACCACAAACACTGATTATATTAAAAAAAAAAAATAAGCTAAAAACAAAGTTATAAGCGAAGCTAAAAAACGTGTCAGTTATTGTTAAAAATTGAGAACACCGTCCATATTAAACTCCAGATTATTTGACTTTTTTCTGACTGATTCCTATTTCGGGTAATGAAAATTGAAAAAACGTGAATTATTTTTAAGTTAAAGAAAGTTTAATAAAAATTAATTCAAAATTAAAAGGAAAATGAGTGTGTTGGAACATGAAGCTCAAAGGCTGAGCCAAATGGTATGTACCTACAAATATGTAACTTATTAACACGTAATCAAAATACTCAATTAATATTATAGGAACATGAGATCCGGCAAATTAAAGAACAAATTGAAAATGTTGGGAATGCAACAGACCTAGGAAGTTATGATGAAGAATTAGCGAAACTTGAAACTAACAACATGAAATTAAAACATCGCCTAAGCATTTTAAATAAGGTATGTTCCTACATCAGTAAGTAGGTATATCCATTATATTTTGAAATTTTAAAACTATGTATATTCCTAAAAATTTTACTAACCTCAATACAATTTGTACACATATTTTATGCAAATACTTTTTTAGGCAATTGAAAAAGAGCGAGGAAATTCATCAACTTCTAACAAATTGAACTCTATAACAGAAATGATATCCATTACAGAACATTTGTATGATTTATTTGAGAGTGCTATTAAGAGTGCTTACCCGGATTTGACAAATCCTCCTGTTATAATAACTCCTGTTTCTGCGAACACACCAAAATTTGGTGATTATCAATGTAATAGTGCTATGCCTATAGCTCAATTACTAAAAACTAAAGGATTAAAATCAAATCCTAGAGAAGTGGCTCAAAACATAATGAACCATTTAGGTCATTCAGTTTTAGTATCTAAAAGCGAAATTGCTGGAGCTGGATTTATAAACGTTTTTCTGGAAAAGTATGTTCATAATATGATAAATTTTTATTTTAAAGCAAGTGGTTCATATGTGTGAGAATTTTGTTTTTTTTTTATATATAATTGCAATCGCTTTATTTTTTTAATAATATTGTAAACACATTTTGTTTTTTGTTTTTTTTTTGTTACTTATACACACATTATTTAATATAATTTTTAATTAAAATTTAATTAAAAAAAAAACAAACTTTTAACTTGTTTTAAATAAGCTTTTTTTGACAAATATTTACAAATGATTCTTTTATGGAATTTAAAAATTGCATTATTTACAGATCATATGGTGTAATGGCTATAAATGAATTGCTTCGTAATGAAATAACACCACCATCATGTAAGAAGCAACGTGTGTTGGTAGATTTTTCCTCGCCGAATATAGCAAAACAAATGCACGTTGGTCATTTAAGATCAACAATAATTGGCGAATCTATATGTCGCCTTTTAGAATTTTTGGGCCATGATGTAATACGTGTAAACCATGTGGGCGACTGGGGTACACAATTTGGTATGTTAATAGCCCACTTAGAAGATCGTTTCCCAAATTTTACAAATGAAGTACCACCAATTAGTGATTTGCAAGAGTTTTATAAAGAATCTAAAAAGAGGTAGGCATCTAACTTACATAAAAGACAAAATGAAAATGAGGAAACTATTTATTTTTGGTTTTAGATTTGATGAGGATGAAGATTTTAAAAAGAGAGCATATAGCAGCGTTGTAAAATTGCAGAGTGGTGAAAAAAATTCTAAAAAGGCCTGGACTTTAATTTGTGACGTATCGCGAAAAGAATTTCAAAAAATATATGATGCATTGGATGTAACAATAAAAGAATTCGGCGAATCATTTTATCAAAGTAGAATGGAAAGCATAGTAAAATTTCTTGAAAAAGAAGGTTACTTGGAAGAGGATGAAGGACGAAAGATCATGTGGGGTAATCCTGAAACTAGAGATGGTATACCTTTAACTATAATAAAATCAGATGGTGGTTTCACTTATGATACATCAGATATGGCTGCAATTAAATACCGTTTAGAAGAAGAAAAAGCTGATTGGATAATTTATGTTACAGATTCTGGACAATCAACTCACTTTAAAATAATATTTGAATGTGCCGAAAGAGCAAAAATTTTAGATTACAAAAAGCATAGAGTTGATCATGTTGGCTTTGGTGTTGTACTTGGAGAAGATGGAAAAAAATTCAAAACTCGATCTGGTGAAACAGTGAAATTATCTGATTTACTGAATGAAGGTTTAAAAAGATCATTGGATAAGTTAATAGAAAAAGAGAGAGATAAGGTTTTAACACCAGAAGAATTAAAAGCAGCACAAGAGTCTGTTGCTTATGGTTGTATTAAATATGCTGATTTATCACATAATCGTATAAATGAATATGTGTTCTCATTTGATAAAATGTTGGAAGATCGTGGTAATACTGCGGTTTATTTACTATATGCATTTACAAGAATACGTTCTATTGCTAGAAATTGTGGAGAAGATTTTACAAATTTAAAGAAAATCATGGAAACAGAAAGCATTTCTGTTGAACATGAAAAAGAATGGAAATTAGTTAAAACATTACTAAAATTTCCAGATGTAATATCAAAAATTACAAAAGATTTATTTTTACATCACCTTTGCGAATATGTATTTGAAATAAGTACAACATTCACCGAATTCTACGATGTTTGCTATTGTATTGAGAAAAATAAGGAAGGTAAAATTATTAAGGTTAATCGTAGCCGGATTTTATTATGTGAAGCAACTGCTCTTGTATTAGGAAAATGCTTTGATATATTGGGTTTGAAACCTGTTGCAAAAATTTGAAAAGTTCCCGAAATTTATTTTTTTTTATGACAAGAACAAAAATTAAATAAAAATTTGTTAAAAAATACATTGATTGAATTTCATTTAAAACCTTTATCATTTACAGTGTTTTTTTTTATTCAAATATTTTAACAACTTCATTCAAATGTTTTGTTCAAGTTTGATTCAAAAAACAAATTTTAATAATTTTTTTTTTATTATAATTCTTGTTTTTTGTACACTTTATTACTAAAATCTAACTTATGATAAAGAAAGAGAAAACTAGGAAATTAATTAATTTAGTTATTTTGGTGTCTTAACAAAAAACTGAAAACAATTTTATATTATATTTTTTGTTTTCAGAAGAAGTGCATTGACAAGATTTGATTAAGGTTATGATTTATGCAGAAATGAATTATAAAATTAATATTTAATGACTATTTTAAAAAATTAATTTCATTTAATTATTTATCTACAAAGTGTTATCCAAGAAAAATAAAAAAAAATTTTCATCGATATTCGAAAATTTTAAATAATTTAAACATCAATATCAATTTTTCTTGGATTTGATTTTTATTTTCCTCTAAATATTATTTTACCTAAACATGAGGACATTATTTTTTTAACTTGAGTTATTTTTATGTTTTTAATTTAAGTAAATTAGTATATTTTACTACAATTTTATACATATAATAGATTCGATTACAATTGTGGCATGTAAAATTACAAAATATGCTTATTTGTTGTGTTTAACATTTTCATCAATAGTTTTCAATTCACTTTTTTTATAGAAGACAAGTAATTTGAAATATTTTCTTAAATTCATATTATTATTTTTGTTTTTTTTTTGTGAATGTCACTGGAAGTTAATATGACTTGACACGTGTATTATGGTAAATGTTTTGGACATTATTAAAATATCAATAAAACAAAAGCATTCAAATAACACAAGCTCCCAAGACTCTATGTAAGACTATAGACCTGTATTAAAAAGTAACTGAATAATACCATAAAAAATGTAACTTAAAGCTTATTCAATAGCTAGCAGCGTACATAAAAAAATTTAAATTATGATCAATAAATAATTAAACTATAAATTTCTAATATTTTGAATTACATATTACTGCATTAAACAATGTTCGTATTTTATTTATTTAAATAATCTGAACTTGAAGGGAATAAAACTTTTCCATAAAACTTTGAGGAGTAGTCTGAAAAAGTATATGTAATATTCTATTCAACTTAAATAACCAATATTACGGAAAATCATATTAAATATATGTAGTTGGTGAAAGTATAAATTAAAAATTTTATAATATTATTAATTACTTTTCACATAATCGACTCTAATTTCCATTTATAAATTTTTTTTAATAAAAAGTCATTAAGCAAAAATTTTAAGGCCTAAATATAAACTATGAAGCACTTGCATAATTATTATACTTAGTAAGAATTTACTTTAAGTTCTAGATTAAAATATGTATATGTATTGATTTTTCATTATTATTTTTTTCCTTAAATAATTGATAAAGTGCAATAATTTATTGATAATATACCATTTACATACTACTGATTATTAAGAATAAAAACTAATTTCAAATATAATTTTATTTTGTTTTTTTTGTGGTTACTCTAATAACTTTAATGAATAGCATTTGATACTTATACATTTTACATAAAAAAACAAAAACGTAGTTTTCAGAATATATTACATATAATATTTGATATTTTTCTTAAAAATCTTAAATTTAAAAAATAAATTAATATTCTGTTTTTAATGGATATTTTAAAATTTTAACACAATAACTTTCATTTTTTGAAATGATATTAATATAAAAATTATTTTATTATGAATGGAAAATTATTGATCAATTTAATTTTATTTATTTTTAAATTAGGAAGCGTTTTATTTATTAATTGGCACCAAAATAATATTGTATTGTTTTAACATAAAATAGAGAACGGAGTGTATTGTAAAAAATTATTTCAATAAATTTTGTAATATTATAATTTAACTATTTTGCTTAGATGTTTAAAATGATTAGTACTGATAAAAAAAAAATTATCAGTACTAATCATAAATATATTTCAAGAATTTTCATAAATAGCTTATTTTATAGACACATATTATGTTACACCAAATGAAGAGAGCAGTTATATTAAAGTTAAATCATAAAATTACAGACGATCAGAAAGTGACCGGTCTCTTAGTAATGTTTAAGAAATTAAAAAAAATTAGCTTCAAATTATTGTCAAATTAGAAAATTTTCATATCAAGTTAAATTGCGTTTTGATTAAAAGAACTATAAAATTTTTATGGAATATTTTAAAGAAGATCCAAATTGTAGATACACTGACCAGAAACTTTCAAAACAAAACTGATTTCATGTACTTAAATAAATAAATACTATATTAATATCATTTCATACATATCTCGATGTAATAAAATTGTTATTTATTTTTATTTTATTGTTTTCCTTTGTTAATAATAACATATTTAAATCACATTTTATTTTTACAAAAAAAAAAAAAACTACATTATTATAGTAATAATTTTAATAATAATTACAATCATAATAATAATAGTAAACGAGTTCTTTTCTAATATTTAATTTGGTTTTTTTTTTTAATTTTTTTCTAGACATTTTTCTTTTTCCTTTATTTTTCTTCAACTATATATTTATGTTAATTTCTTCGAACTTTTACTCTATATTATTTTTCTTATTTTTTAATTGTTTATTTTTCATTTTTGATTTTTTATTTTGAATATATTTTTATTTATTTTTTTTTTCAGTCGAATCAGTCATAATCATTATTAATATTCCAACGTTTGGGTATATTTTTTTTAATATATGTACATATTTTTTAAAAATTAACAAATACATTTTTATTATTATTTTTATTTAAACATTACCTAATTTAAATACTTTTATAAAATTTTAAACTAAAGACTTAAACATAAAAGAAAAGAAATTAAATTTAAATCTTAAAGTACGGTGCTTTACTAAATCTTTAAATGATTTTAATAAAAAATTAAAAAATATAATATATATATATATATTTAAGAAAAATATTGATTATAATTTTGGTTTTAAAAATATTGTTACCTTTTATTTATAAAAAAAAAAAATAAAAAAGAAACAATTTTAATTATATAAAACTAAAACAAAGCTAATGATTTAGAAAAATTAAATTAATTTTCAATTAAAGCACAATTTAAAATGATTTAAATATTTTAAATATGACAATTTTTGTGTGTGCTTACAAAAGATGCATTATTCATTAAGAAAATTTGATATTGAAAACATATTTAATAAAAATATTTTATTTTTTTTTTATATAAGTTTAGTTTTTTTTTTTTTTTCATTTTTTTTTACCATTCTGAAACCTATTTTATGAGTTTTAAATCATTTTGTTATTTTAATATATTTTTATTTCGTCTTTTTCTTCGATATTTATTGAATGAATTTTTCAATGCAATTATTATTCTCTCATGTCAAAAACTTTTAAGTAGAATTATAGGTACTTTAGGCACTTTGACTGTATAAAAGATTAATTACTTTAATAAATATACAAATAAAAAATAAAAAAAATAAAACAATAATATTTTTATCAATCACGGAAATTTTTCCATCTTTTTAAACTATGTATTGCTTAAAATACTAAACTGTTTTATATATTGCTTAGAAATATTAAAAAAAAAAAAAAAATAAAATGATAAACTGGCCCTTTTTGTCTTTTACTAAAAATTCCATTATATTAATAGTTATGTTATTAATTTTTGCATTATATTTAATTACTTTATATTTATAAGGTTAATGTTTTTAATAATGTTATAAATAAATAATATTTTTAAATAACTATTATTAATGAAGATTTTCCATAAATAATTATCTACACAAAAATTATGAATGTTTAAAGCTTATCCACAGGTGGTACATATACTTAATTTATAAGTAAATACATGCTTTTATATAACAATGGGATTATCATAAACAACATTTTTAAAAATCAAATCATTTATTTGTGTTAGTTCACTTTTAAAATGACATAAATATTATATAGTTAGAAATTTGCAAAATTATAATTAAAAATAAAATAACATAACTATCAATAAAATCTGTTTTGGAAATAAGAACAAAAATTTTCGATCTATCGGCATGAATAATCAATTTAAAAAAAAAAATTTACAAAACTTTTTAAATGCTTAAAGCGAAAATTTATAGTTGAACAAATTAAGTTTTAAAAGTTTTAAAATATAGATCAAAATGGATTTTTAACAATTTCTTTTTTTGATAACAAAAAACGTTATTCATTTTTTTTTAAATTTAAAAAGTTGGAACTACCTTTCTTTTTCCCTTAACAAAATTTTAATTTATGAAATAAATTTTTTATTTTTTATATTTTATTTTGGTTTGTGTTACATAAAGTAATTATTAATGAAGCTATTCTTTCTAAATTTTATTATTTTATTTAATAAATATTTTGGTGGTACATTAAATATCTTAAATACTACATCAGGTGAAATTAATTTAATAATGAAGATGTATTTAATTTTTAGTTTAGTATTATAATTATAAGAGCAATTCAATGTTATAATTAAATATTTTTTTTAAGTAACTATAGGGCTAGCCATGGATGGTGTTGCAATGCTTCTTTAGATCTATCACCATAGTCATATGTTAACTCAACACCTTCTTCAATATCATCTCTTGCAATCAAAACAAGATGTGGTTTTGATTTAACGACAACAACTTTTGTCATTAGATTGCCATTTCTTGAATGATTCACTAGACGTCCTAGTTTGCCTGATTCTGCAGTAGCGTCAATGCTACATAGTGTAAGAGAAAAGTTAATTAATCATTACAAAATAAAAAAAAAATACTAATTTTTATTTACCAATATTGTTGATTTTTATGTTTGAAATAATACATATAACAACCAGCATTTTCATCTAACGAATATTTATATTCACGTTCATTCGCTTCATTCATATCAATAAGATCACCAATATATTCAACAACAAATTCTCCTCGAAGAAATTTTCTTGTTGTTATAATTCCGCGACCCTTTCCTTCAAATTCTTGAACCTAAAATAAATAAAAAAAATAAAATTGTCATATATATAAATATGTCATCGTTTTTGACAAATTATTTTTTTTTTTTCATTTCTTACTTTTAAACCATCCTCTCGATTTTCCAAAATTGCTTGCTCTAAAGTTCTCATCATTTCCTCTTTTACAGCAGTTTTAGTTTTCCGTACACTTCTACGAACTGGATAAAAATCGGTTAAAGTTTCTTGTATATGCTGAGTTTTTGATTGTTTCTGTTGAGTTTGTTGAACAGATCTTCCTGGAGGTGGTTTCATTTGGTTAACTACTATTCTTCCTTCAGAAATTTCATTTCCGGTTGTTACAGTTTGATTTTGTATCAAATTGGTATCATAAAGCACTTGGGCATTTTGTCGAGTAGGTGACATATTATGGCTACTAAGTAATTTCGATTGATTATTCTAAAAAGTAAATTAGATTATAAATAATCTCATTAGGTATAAAATTAAAAAAATAAATTGACAGAAAATATCTTACTTTAATAATGTTATTATTTGAATTTTGTTGGGCAGTTGGATATTTCGCTGAATTTAAAATTAATTTTTGTTGTTGTTTACTAATTCTTTTAAGAGTTTCGTCTGTTAAATTTGCACTACCCAATTGGGGTAATGCTATGGAACTATTCTCCGATTGGGGAGTATTCAGTCTATGGGACGAAAAGAAATTATTTTAAAAAATAAAAAATGTTCAGTTTTTATTTTAATTTTTCTACTGAATTTACCTTCTGCGTGATTTAGGATATCGTTTTTGTGCACCATTTGCAACACCATGAGTGGCAGTATTTATTTTATTACTAATTGGTGTTCTTTCAATACTACTACTACGGCTACTAGTTATACATTTTTGAACTAAAGGATGTTTAATTGGTGAAGGACACAAAATTCTATGTGGTGTTGTTGGCTTACGTCTTTTACTTGGGCTCAATTCATCTCTTTGCTTTACATTTTTATTATTATATTCTGCATTATTATTCATAATACGAATATGTTCTGATTGATTGTTATTGTTATTAATGTGATTACTTATATTATTCTGGTCGATTATTACTCCACTATCATTTGAATTATTATCAATACTTAATAAAATACCAATATTACTATTATTATTATTATTATAATTCGAATTTGATGAATCAAAATTACAATTATTTATTATTATAGTTTCTGCATCACTACTCACACTACGTTTTGGTGAGCTTTTCAATGTAACAATTTTATTAAAACCATTAAGGCATATTGAATTGCAATTTGAATTTGAATTAGCTGCTGAAAATACAGATTCAACTTCAAACGTTTTATTGATTTTTATTGACGAAGGCTGATTAGGTGATTTATCTATATTAAGGCTTAAAACCGGTTCTTGTAAAAATAAATTATCTTTAGAGGCCACCATAGTATTCTTTAATATAGATGGTACTGTCATTGTTGTTTTTGTTGATGTTGTCATATTTGTCATTTTTTCTGATGCATCACCTTTATTACCATTTAATATACTTGATGATGTTGAAGAAGTTGAGGAATTAGTAAAATATCCATTATCATCATTATTTTTGTTTTTATCATGTTTTAAATTACTATCGTAATCATTTTGTAATAAGTTTTCATCAGTAACATTTTCTTGATTTATTTTTAGTGCAATATTCATTCCAGAGCAATTCATGCTACCATTTAATTCAGGATTTTTATTACTTTCATCACTTAAATCTGCATCGTCTTCTAGATCTTCTTCTTCTTCGTCTTCTTCTTCATCATCTTCAACTTCAATATTTTTATTTAAATCAATGCAAATATCATTTTCATCAAAATTTATTTCAATATTATTATGATCTTTTAGAATTGTATCATCATAATATATTTCTCCATTGTAAGAATGAGTTTTATTTTGTAAATCTATTACTTTACAAGTTGGTTTTGTTTCAACAGATGTAAAATATTTAGTTATAGTTTTTTGATTTTGTTGTTCATTTTGGTAATGAGAATTAGTATTATGATGATGGTGATGATGGTGATGATGATGATGATGATGATGATTATGTTGTTGTGAACCTTTTGATTTTGTTATATTACTACAAGAATTTGATGCAATACCATTTGCTGATGATGAACTTGTTCTTGGTATATGATTGTTAATACCATTACATCTTGTAGTAGATCTTGTTTTTATATTATTAATTGTTTCATCAATTTTACTTTCTTTTCGTTTTGGGCTTGCATAGCACTGATGATCATCAGTTATAACTTTATTTTGTGTTGTTTCATTTATTATTGCAGCTCTTGCCAATATCGATGAACTGTTTGATTGCGGTAAAATTGTAGAAGGATGTGAAATATTCGTGACAACAGCTGTTGCAGCACGTGTTCTACGTCCTAAAATAAAGAGAAAAAGAAGAAAAGTAATATTAGAAATAGAATTCATTATATAAACTATAAATTACTTAGTTAATTGATGAATTAGAAACATCAATCAAAAACTACATACTTGAACAGCTATAATAAATTATACAAATTTTCATTCTTACACCGCGTATGAAAAATTTACAGGCTATTTTTACTAATAAGTTTTTCAAATGCTTCATAAATGAGTCATTAAATTTATTACCTTTCTAAGAGCAGTGTTACATTTTTTTTTCGGTATATCGGATTGGTATATTAGTGCTCTTTTTTCTCTCATATTCCATCTATAATTTTCATATTTGCACACATAAAAAATTTATATACATGAATAAATCATTTTGTTTTCCAAAGGTATAGAAAATTTAAGTTACTGTTTATGACATGTAATATGAGCATGAAATTTTGGAATAGTGGCGAAATTGCAAACTCAAATAATGTTTAGGAATTTGCTAAAACTGATATATTAAGCAAGTACTTTATTTATTAAAAAAAATGATTGTTTTTTGAGTCTATATCTTCGAAAGATACAATTTTAAGTTACTATTTCACAGTAGTTTGGTTTCGAAAGATGCACTTAAAGGAATGAACAACGTGACTTTCCAATTTTACCAAGGGTTCTCAAAAGAAATAAAATGGAGTCGTTAGAACATTAAATAATTGTTCAACAAAAACGTTCTAAATTTCTGCACATATTAAATATCAATAATTTTGAAGCGCTGTTTAGCAGACAGATTATTTATATAATAGCAAATCAAAATGAACCAATTTGATATTGACAACCAATAACGTGTCAAATTTGACAATACGAAGTCATATCCCAATATTGAATGGAATACTTTTTGTTTTGGTATTATATTTTTTATTAGATTAACTATTTATAGAAGGTGCGTTAAGGAAGAAAAAAAAATCAAGGCTATATATTACACTGGATAAGAGGTTTTGGATATATATTTATACAAGTGTGTTTCATTATGATTACCTATTGATTAATAACTTGTCAACTTGTTGTATGGATTTATACACATGTACAAATTATGTTTAAGTTCAAAAGAAATTTATATTTTTTTCATTTTATTTTCAAATTTTCTGTTTACTCAGCTGTTTTTTATTTTTCCACATTTTATTCACTTTGATATTTCAATAATGCATTTTTTTAATACAAAATTTATTGATAGAAAATTTCAAAAATAAAAAAGCAAATAACTACATAAATACATAATATATATATGCATATACATACATACATATATAATTAAAGTACGTTCAGGGGAACTTGTTATGGTTAAATATTTTAGTTAAAATAAGTAAGTATAATAATTTGCTGATATAGAGAACAAATATTTAGAATTCAATAGAATGTGTTTTTGATTTACAAATTTTTTATTGAAATAATTTAATTAAATTTCGTTATTTTTATTATCCAAACATTATTTTAACCATACCCATATTGACGATCACGTCAATCACATCAATTACTTGCATTTGCAAATTACAGACATTATGCAAATAAAGCAACTTCTATTAGCATATATTTTATAAAATATTTTTGAAGACATTCATGTAAGAAATTACACGTTTTCCATTTTTAACAATTAGGTTCTGTAATAATACTTAATACCTATAAGAAATTAATAACAAAAAATTAATAAAAGTATAAGAAATCAAAAAATGACAAAACTAGCGGCAAAAAACAAAAACTGGAATTCATGACGTTAGCGTCATTCATTCCGAAATTCTGGGAAAGTGCCACTAGTTTAATTTATGGTTATTATAATTTGCAATTGAAAATTATTTTTTTTCTAACATTTTATCCACTTAAAATTGATTCGTTAAAAATAATAATTAAATAAAAAATTTATTATTTACTTTAAAACTTTACACATTTCTTGTTCAAAAAATATTTCTAGATAAATATGTAAATAAAATATTTTTTCTTATATATATGTACATACATATATGTAGATCATAAGATTTTAAAGATTAGTTTGAAACGAAAAATGCGAAGATTAATTTAAGAATATAAGGGATTTTGTTGCTAATTACAATTTGTGTAAATCTCTCATTCGAACTATGCATGATATATACACTTATAAGGGGTCCTTTTTAAAAGATCCAAAAAATTACTATTATCCATATTCTATTAGACATACATACATATTCCTTCAAGCAATGGCATATTATTAAAAAGAATTGCAGAATTTCGAATTTTGCAATTGATTTTATTAGAGAAATTACTCTAATAAAATATTTGGATTTTTTGAATAAAAAAAATGTTGAAAATGTAATAGAACTTGAAATTTAATTTCAATCACATGATAATTACAAAAATGTTATTTTATTACAAAATATTTTATTTTAATATGGTTTTTGAAAATTTAATAATTAATATGTACATACATCCTTTGATTAAATTTTATTAAAATATTTTACTACTTATTTCATTAAAGAATTCATGAATATAAATTCATATTTTATTACAAAATACATACATACATACATATAAAAATTTGAAATATTTTAACAAGATTTAATTATCATTAATTAAATTTTTATTTTTTCATTTTTATATTATTGATGTTTAGCAAAACTATGCAAATTTAATTATAATATTTCATATTTACTGATAATATTTGTTTTCATTAACGTCATAACTTATAAGAGCTTTTGTATGTAATTCGGAAATACTAAAAGATCATTAGATAATATTGGAAGGAAATTTAATTTTAAATTTTATAAAGATGCAAGCACATAACATGACAATGATGTTAAGAACTGTTTCCATATACGACAAAATCTAAATGCAAATTTACGATAAAGTTTGATGAATGTTTACACATCAGAGTGAAAATAAAAATCAGTTGTTTGCTCCCTCAAAATTTTCGTAAAAAATTAATTTTTGACATTTTACTTTTTTAAAATTTGACTCACATATCATAGATTTTGTTTATGTAAACAATACCTGATAATCTCAAATTTGTAAAGAAACTGTTTTAATCCCTATACAAATCATTAAATTACAACTTGTATACATACATACATATTTCAGATGACAACTTAAATAAATCAAAGGAGTAAATTTTAATTGAAGAAATGAGTTTTACTAATAAATTCAATTTGAATTAGTTTTCTTTTAAATTAAGATATGATTTTTTTTTGTTTTGAAAATTCTCAAATTTCAAGCTGATGAACTTCATTATTATTTATTTAATAAGCTTAAGCACGCTTGAACTTAAATTTTTAAAAAAAGTAATTGAGGTAGAATTCAAAAAAAAAAAAAATTACGATCGTCATTATTTTAATTGCTTACAATGCTTACATGATCAGCAATTCAATATTTAGTACCCACTTACACATATAGGGTACGTACATGTGAACAAGGCATGTGAAATACCTACTTTTAAAATACAAGAAAATTAAAAAAAGTAGTCGACAATTTCAAGGTCAGAAAAAGTGTGAAAAAGTTAAAATTTTCAGGGTGAAGTTTTTGGAAATTTTTGATTTTATTCGATTTTTCGCCTCTTATAAAATTTTTATATTTTCATTAATTATGAAATTTTGTTAAAATTGATTTTTCTGCATGGATAACTCTACAAACAATTTCTTTTTTACATATGTACTTATGTACATACTTATGTACACATATAAATACTTATAATTTTATTTCAGAGGCACAAAAGATCATAACTTATATACATACATATATGTACGTAAGCCTATATAAAAGAAATAAGTAATAAAAAATAATGTTTTTCCACCACTGAAAAAATATATTTAAATAATTTATGTATGTTTTTTTTTTTGCAAATTATTCTTAATAGTAATCTAATAATTTTTTAGGAGAGGAAGATCAAAATAATACAAAAATAAAAATAATATGAAAAATTCTAATTTAATTTTTGACATTTTTTAATTTAAGCGTCATACATGTATAAAAGAAGCATATACAAGTTAGCAAACATAACTATTGTAAATATGTATAAACAAACACAAACAATATTCATTACACATACATACATTATTATATACATTGACATACCTATATACAAAACTATGTACATATATTCACATGTTGTTATTTTACCTAAGTTCATTCACATTTTTTTTGCTTTTGATTTTCTCAACAATTTTTTTTTTAATTTTTATGTAATATTTTCGTATGTGGTGATCATTATCACATTAAAAAAAAAAAAATAAGTTTGGTATTCGCATTTTGCGGCGGGAAGCTTTTTTTTTTTTTGTAAAGTATACTAATAACTAAATTCATTGTTAAATATACGATATTATTAAGAAAAACTAAATAACAGAAAAATTATTTGGCTTCACAAATTTATTTCACGTTTATGAATAAAAATGTTTATAGGCTAAAATATTATCAGTGACATCTAGTTTACGAACGTAATTGCAAAATTTGCACTTAAGCCAGCAGTAGTTATAAAAATAAGTCTTTGCAAAAATAATGCATTGCTTACAATTTGCATTTTGGAACATAATTTTTAACTTTTTTTAGACGTCATCAGTATTATTGTCATCAAATTTGTTTTTTACAGTTCTATTCTTTAAAATTTTTAAGTAATTTATACTTATAAGTAACTAGGTATATTCAAAAATTTCAAATATCAGTTTTAAATGTAATGCAAAAATCAAATGCAAAGTTTTTTTTTGTGCTATGAACATTTTTTTGCATTAACAAAACGTAAACCTTACAACTTGGATCGTATGATGGCATTATTAAAAATTTTTTTGGTTTGCAACTTGGATTATATGACATTGCTAGTTTTATATTTTATTTGCAAAATGAATTTCACGGTATATTAAATATTTCTAAATAATGTTTATTTATAATATTGTAACAGTTGAATGATTTTAACAAAAAAAAAAAATAGTCTTAATTTTAAATGAAAAAAAAATGTTTGATTGTCATATTTAATTTAACGTTTCTTTGAATTCACTTTAGTTATATGTATGTATTTTAA